CAGTGAGGACGTACCGGACACAGTGAGGACGTACTGGACACAGTGAGGACGTACCGGACACAGTGAGGACGGACTGGACACATCTAACGAGTGTTTTAGTGTGGTGATGTCATTCTGTTAAATGTTTGCTGCAGCCCGTCTCCTCGTGACGACTTGTGTCTGGTTTAACTCTGATTGTGTGAGTACGTGTCTATGTGTGAATGTGTGTCTCACCATGGTCAAAGCAACAGTTGCGCAGAGTTCCTATGACTCCTCCTCTTCTAATCACTGACGTCTGGTGCTGAGTGAAGGGCAACAACCTCTGGAATACACACCTGCAATGCACACGCACACATGGATAAACACACACACACACACAGACTGTTACAACATGTCATATGTGATAACGCACATATGACCACAGTCCTCATCCTGCAGTGTCTTCCGTCACCTGTCCTTGTCCAGGATGTAGTTTCTGGTCTCAGGCAGCTGTGTCAGGTTGGACAGCAGAGGACCCAGGTAGTGGAGATTTGCCTTCTTGTTGTAACCTTCAGTGCAGAAGATCTCCACCAGTTTAGTCAGACCAACTTCCTCCTGCAGGACCTGAAACAGCACAGACACGTTATATCTCATGAATGTGGGAAAGCCACTGCCCCCCCCCCCCCCCCCCCCCCCCCACCACCAAAAACCTCTTCCCATTCCAGGTAAGCTGGAACTGCAGTGACTCACCGTGAACAGAGTCTTGCAGGTCTTCTCATGACGGGTCAGGTTGGACAGGATCTTGCAGATCTGATCCGAGAACCAGTACTCTGGATCCAGAAGGTTCTTTAATAACACCGGAAGAACTTTAACATCTTCCACCAAAACCTGTGAGACACAACCATGAACACACACACACACACACACACACACACACACACACACACACACACACACACACACACACACACACACACACACACCTGTAGCATAGTTCTTTTTGGTTTGTTTTATTTGCCATTTACAGAAAAGTTGTGAATAATTATTCATTTTAAACCTCACCTTGTGCAGAGTCTCATCTGCCGACAGGTTGATGAAGATGTGGTAACAGTCCTTCGCTATGGCAATAGAAGGGTCAGAGGTCAACGCAAAGAGAGCAACAAGTAAATCAGGTTTAGAGCGGAGGAAGCGGCAGCCATCCCTAAAAACACACACACACACACATAAGGAACAGAACAGCAATAGATTCAAATGTTACACTTAATTCAAAACCATTTTAAATGTCGCCGAGCCAAATAGAAGTTTCTTTTCAAGGTTGTTTTTTTGTAGAGATATAAAGTGAAGTTGTTTCAGTGAGATATGATTCTATAGTTTCATGTTTGTCTTAATAGTTAACAGCTGTACCTGGATCAGAGTCTTCAAAAGCACGTTGACTTGAATAACTTTCATAAGCAAAAAAAGACAACATAATATAACATAATAGTGTAATTGAGAGCGGATTTAAGTCTGTGATTAAGTGCTCATTTATTTCACGTTATTACAAATGTGATTTTCATTAATAGAAGGCAGCCTCTCTGATAGGAGTTAAAAACATCCATTAACACTTACAAGTTGTTTATATACATGTTATACATTTCAACATAATGACATGATTATTAGAAATGCACGTTTACATTATGAATGGCATCATGTCGGCCTACCTGTCTCCTGACAGTCCCAGGATGTACTCTGTGGTGTGACCTTTGACATCGGGACGAGTGTCGGGGCTCAGGAAGGAGAGCAGCTCCGCAGCCTCCGAGTCACTCAGCATCTTCCCACTGAGTGTGAACAGTAACACAAACTTCAGGGTTAGTATGAGGTGTCATTTGTTCGTTAATTACCATGTTTACACTGAAATAAATGAGCTTAACGAGTCACACTGTCAATACACTGGAGAGCAAACATGAGAAATGAAGATACAGTAAAAAAACCCTTCTGTTTACTGAGGCTAAATTCTGACTATTGTTTATTTATGAGAATTCAACAACGTGTTCGATGACGTTCTTCTTCAGCAGCTTCATTTAAAATGTCACGTCTTAGTTTAATGTAAACAATCCGTCCGTGTAACAAACCCGTTAGCTAAACTCTGTCCCACATGCTAATGTTCAGGATGGACGATGAGCTATAAACACATTTTACCTTTCGCTGACTAAAGCACGAGTCTGCTTCTCATGTCTCTGCGGTTCCTCTTGTGTAAGTGTAGTTTTTATTCTTCTACATGTGAACGATCACAGTCCACATGTGGACGCTGCGGCTCAGCTTCCGGCTTCTCTTCTTCTCTCGGGTCGCAGCAGCTGGACGGTCGCGGCTGCGTGTTGCTGCCCCCTGTGGTCGTGTGTGGACGCTCCATGTTTCTGAACCTCTGGAGTATTTCTGGTATTTTCTGGTACACGGGTTTATGGAGTATTTATGTGACGTATTTGGAATATTCGAGTATTTCGAGAACATCTCATTTTCGAGTATTTAGTTAAGACTCAGGAAAGCAGACTGTTTATTTTATACATCTTCATTCTATATGAGAAACACAAATGTAAATAGACATTAACTTTTATTTCATTTTTTTTAATTCTTTATATTTGTTTTTTTATTTTTATCATATGTATTCTACTTTTTATAATTATTTATTTTACTGAGTATTATTTTTTTAATTCTCCCACACATTTTTATTCTTTGTCTTTATTTTTAAGTGGTCTGGATCAAACTGGTGAATCTTTTTAGGAAACGTTTGAGAGGAAGGAAATTAATTTCTTACACCTCAAGAACTCACATGTGTAATGGTGAAAAACACTTTATTTAGATGCAAACTAACTTCACCAAAAACTCTTCAAACTTTAAATTTACACACAATGACACACACACAAACTGAGACAGCAGATAGGGTTTTATGTTAAAGATATTTTTTACTTTCCAAACTACTTTATTGATATATTGAAAAAACACAAACAAGACATTCACATAGTTAAGTCCAATCAGCAACAACTCCCACTCACTCTAATGTTGCATTGAAATGCTGCTATTGCATATAAACGTGTTCCCCTTCTCATTTAAAGGTACAGTTCAACCTTTACTGTCTCCAGACAACATTCTGCCCTTTAACTCTCACAAACGGTCAATGATTAAAAGGCTGCAGAATGTTTTCTTCTTTAATCCTAAAAATTCCATTTATTAGAGTCTGACGCAACATTTCAACATTTGAGATGAACAGAAAACTTTAAGAATATCATAGCTGTGGTAAAGACATGAGCCCATTGTCACTGTACATGTGATTGTGTGTGTTTACAGTCTTCAGACATTACAGATAAATGTTCCTACATGTTGACTGGGGGCTGCTGGGTAAAAAAAAAGAAAAAAAGAAAAGCGCCCAGGGCTCTTTAAAAGGGTAAAGGTCAGACACAGTGAAGGATGTAGACTGAACAACACTGATCCCTAATTTTCCAATGTTGAAATATTTGACTTTTCACAACACACTATTTTTGTCCAATGCAAAAAAAGAAAAAAAAAAGACTAAAAGTCTTCAGCGTTTTGATTCAGGAAACATTTCACCAAACGTGTGTTGACTGGAGAGAGTGAAGGAAAGATTGAGCATCAGTCAGATAAACAACAGATAAAAATATTCAACAGCATCAAGAAGTTCACCACGAGCTGCAGTGGATCCCAGTCCATGTAATCTTCCTGGAGACATATTTAGTTCCAGCCGTACAAACACCGCTCCAGGTCAGGCAGGGGTTGTACACAGAGTTTTGGTGACTCAGCATTTCTTCCTGGTAATAATGGGTTGCCATGGTAAAGTAGTACTACTGAACTTTAAGGAAACGACTGTAGTTATATGCATCAAAGTCGACATCTCGGTATGGTGACAAGACTATTATGTTCAAGGCCAAGAAAGGCCTCTGAAGGCACTGTGGAGTCTGATTGGCAGACAGAGATCTGCAGGCGGCCTCTCTCTGTTGGCTCAGGGCGGGGCAAGTCCATCATCATCATCATCGTCATCATCATCATCATGCTCTTCCTCCTCCTCCTTCTCCAACTCTTCACTCAGCTTTGTCTTTCCTCTTGGCCGTGAACGGGACTTTACTGGCTACCGTCGACCCCACCGTGGAGACGCCACCGGCCACGGCCGACACCCCGCCCTTCACCAGCCCCACGCCCATCGAAGGCACCGTGGTCACAGCCGACTTGGTGATCTCCAGGCTCTTGCCGCCCACCCAGGCCACTCCGCCCACCGCAGCACCCACGACACCCTTGGTGACATTGAAGAGGCCGCCGGTCACCCGCCACATCATGCCGGGGGGAGCCACCACATGGTCCTTGCCAGATTCTGTTAAAAAAGAAAAGAAAGAAACACAAGCATGAGGAATCAATATTTCCACCCTCATAGCTACATCTGCAACTAATTACCTCAGAGGAGTTGGTGTTTGTCAGCAGGACAACCCTAAACACATTGAAATGATTTTATGAAGCTTGGTGGAAGGACGGGACATAGGCCAAGAATGAACCCATTTACTTTTGGAGCGGATTTGATTAAAGGATTCAGGTTTTTTTTTCCCACTTTAACACTGTGATGTAAGATGTTTTTCATATTTTTGTGAATTTGTCAAGAAATAATACAATGATTGATGATCTCAGGCATATTTAGAGAGTTGATATCAATGAGTGTGGGGAATTTGCAGCTTGATGGAGGTATTGACCCTAATGACTGAAAACTCTGTTGATTAATGGATTTATTCTCTTTATCTATAATACCAGAAAATACAGAAGCATCAAATCCTCACATTTGGGAGCTAGAAACTGCACAAATTATGAATTATCCAAATAAATGCTGGTTAATTTTCTGACGATAGACTTGAGGTGAGTTTAGGTGAAAACACCCGCAGTGTAAAAAAGACATTTCCTTCCTGTATAATCCTAATGAAGCCTGTTTAAATGTTAATGTGATATTTCTTATTAGTTGTTGGTTTTGTTCTGCAGATGAATATCAGCAGAAGTAATGAATTCGCATCCTATCCCAACCTACACCTCCCGACAACAAAGTCACAGCTGAGGTCGTGAAATTCAGATGTGAATTGTGCCGAGTTTAACAAAACTAAAAGACCGGAGTCATGCAGGTTCCTGTGTGAGGCTGTATTTAGATACAATAGTGCTTTCGCTAAATGCTAACACCAGCATTCTATTACAATGCTAAATGCTTGGGTGTATCAGGTGTTCACTATCCAAGTATGCAGGCGTTTACTTGCATAATTGCCACAATACATGTTGAGAGGTTTCAGTCGGGACCAAACAACCTGACCATCCCTGGAGTGATGTCGCTGGCACGGCAAAAAAATGCTGAGATGATCAGTTTGGTATTTGGCTGTTCCTGAAATGCTTTAACGAAATCTGGGATTTCTGAACAACCCTCTAATGATCAGATCTCTACAACTCACCTGGCGAGTATTGAGCTTCTGAGCTGATAAAATGGCTGACAACAGAATCACGATACTGAGTGAGAGCTGCGCAGGGGACTCGACTGCTGCAGAGTATCTTAATGTTGGGACACGAATAGCAGGTCGGAGCTGCAGCCGCACTTACACAAACAAACATATTCCCTGGACAAACCAACAGTTTCTGAAATAGCACCAGGCAACATGTGAGCACAGATTGCACCATATTCCCTGCTGATGGTTCAGTATTGAGTCGCAGCCCGGGGGGAGGGGGGCCCTCGCTACTTACCCTCTGTGGGCTGGTTGTTCAGTTGTTCAGTGGGTTCAGCTTCTTCCAAAGCCATGCTGGTCCCAGGCTGGGGCTCCACGTTCACACTGTTCACATTCTGGAAAACACAGGAAACCCCCAGACTGCTTTACTATGAATAGAACAAGTATCACTGTACTTATCTAACTCTTACATGTATATGACTGCATTTACAATCGAAGTACTTGTGTAACTGAATATTTTTTCTCCCCATAACATGAAGCCATCCTGCTGCTCTCCCCACATGCTCTTCTCTGCCTCCTCTGGTCAAGAGCTCATCACCTCCCAGGAGTGTAAGGGTCAGAAAATGTAACATGTGGCAAAACAAAAAAAGTACTTCTCTGTCTCCCGTGGTCAAAAGCGTATCACTTCTCTCGTTCACCCCTCAGAGAATGAGGGGACAGCTCGTCCCCATTCCCGGCAACCTTGTTCAGGTCATATCTCAACACCATGTGATAAATGCTTCACCGGCATCAGGAACATTTCCCACTGCAGTCGAACAGACTCAGGATACAACTCAGCACAGACAGGCTTCACTCGTGCTCAAGTTAAGAATTACTGAGTGGAGTTTTAACTTCTGATCTGAGGGGTGGTTTTCAAACCTGTCTTAGATTTTCTCATGATACTAATCAGTCAATCTATAAATAAGAAAACGCCAAGACGCTTGTCTGTGACAGCTGTTTTTAGAGCAGCTGTAGTAGCAGGTTAGTCTTCACCTCTTATCTTCATGGACCTATCAGCAGCCTTTGATACTGTGCACCGGTGCATCCTGCTATCTGAAGTGGTATGGTGGGCAAAGTGCTGTCATGGTTTGAATCCTATCTCAACAGGTGTTCCTTCAATGTGTCATGGTGAGGCAGCCCAAGGTTCCTTCTCTTTACAACTACACCGGACGTTCCCACCAAATGACCCCACAGACTCCGTGTCGATCCTGGATTCTCTCCCAGACACGTCCACATGGATGAAGGAACTAAAAACACCCTCAACTGAACCTCTCTAAAACTGATCTTTTAGAAATTCTGGTCTCAAGCCCAATAACAACATCAAAACGGCCTCTTCATGTCTGACCCAAACCAAGGTGGTGAGAACGGTCATTTCTCCCCTCGCCACCAATGCCCTTCTGGCAGACCTCCCTTCATCGTGAAAACCTTACGATGGTCCAGAATGCGGCGTAGCTTCAGTGGGAAAAGGGCACATGTCACTCCACTGTTCACCAGCCGAATCTAATGTTATTCATTAATACATTCCTATTGAGTGAAATCTGGGTTTGTACCCATCTACTGGGCTTTTTCGCCTCCTCAGCCACTGAGCTCCTCCAAGGAATGTTGTTTGGCATTACCATCCCTGCACACAAGGCAATCACATTCCAGACTGTTCTCGTTGGCGGTTACTTGATGGTGAAACAAGCCCCAAAATGCTACGAGAGCAGGGGCGTCGCACTGTAACGTCAAGAACCTCAAGAAGAAGTCCTCTCTTCTGAGAACACGTCCTCTCCTAACCCCTCGAACTGAAAACATCCGTAACAAGACTTACTGTGCAGGTTCGACCGACCTCTTTCCTTGACGGCCTACTTTTTGAGATGTAGCCCTTAGAATTTACTTCAAGGTCCCTCGGTGGGAAGTCACTCTGCATAAATGTGAACGCTACAGGATGTGACGGTGCTTTATGTTCGTCTTGATAAAATATACGGTGATTTGTTCAGAAAGGCCTAAGTGGTGACTGAGCAGGAGAACCTGCGGCCTGGTGGCCATGCTGTTGGTCTTTGGATCAGACCTTTTCGACTTGTGACCCTTCAACTTAAAAGTTGTTGAATTTGAAGTTGAAGGGTTTTGGGTCAAGAGATGTCAACCTCTTATCACAGGTGAGTGGTCTAAACTGCAACTAACCGTCTTTGATTACGACATGGCAAGATAGTATACCTTCATATTTCACGAATGCAGAATTTTAATTCCTGTAAATCATCATCACTGCGTCCCCCAAGTTTTTTTTTTTTTTGGATCGAGACCCACAAATGGGGCCCGAGGTGAAGAAATATAACTCATCATCACCTCTGATAATCTGCTGCCACGGTTCGACCTGAAGGTAAAAAAAAATGTTAATTCCATTCAGCACTGCTTAAGATAATGAGCAAAGAAAGCAAACAGGCCACAGAGAGAACAACCTGTTGTCACGGTTCGAAATCCACATCATCACTCCCGGAGCTACAGAACTACATCGTCATTAGAACCTCGTCCCTCACACACTCTTTCCCTGAACCACATTTCTCCCACATGTGAAAAAAGACGCTCGGTGGTTTCTCACCTTCACCATTGTTCCCTGTGTTTCTCCTGCAAACACACCTGAGAGAAACTCGAGCCCGGAGCAGCTTCTGTTTCAGCCTCGGAGCCAAAACTCTGCCGCAGTTTGACCGATGTGTTTGCGGGTGAAAGCTGCAGCTCGGGCGGTGAAAGGTCGTCGGTTCTTCTCGGGGAGGTTTCGGGTTTTATCGCATTTATCCGCAGCAGCAGCAGCGTCAGAACTTCTCAGACTAGGACTCAGGCTGCAGCAGCTTCTCTGCCTCTGACTGTTCTGCCGACGTGGCGCCTCCACACACACACGTACACACACGTACACACATGCACACAGACACACACGCTGTCACACACACACGCTGCAACGCACTACACTTCCGCTCATAACCTCCAAATTAAAAGTCTCACGGGCAATGAGTCAAACAATTTTTTTTTGGAAGCAGTTTTTATTTATTTAGCAGGTTTTGTTATATTCTCTGTAACTCGACCACTGTAATGTGTAAACTGCACAAATAATACACAAGTGAAAACACAAATCATTTATAAATACATATGTATTTATGAAAACCAACAACACAAACAAGACAAGGGAAGTTTTACACACTGGTTCATTTCAAGTTTGCATTAATGTTAAAGCCACCTGCATCAAAAAATATGTTCTGTGCATTTCTCCCTGGTGTTGCAACATGAACATGACAAAGCATATTCACTTTTATCATCTATTTTTTTTACATTTATGCAACATTTAGCAGATGGTCGAGTAGTCTTTCTGTGCCCTCATTAAAAATATATATATTTTTAAACTTTATCTTTATATGTTTGTGGAGGTGGAAAAATACAGATATGCAGGGAAAGGATGAGGATCCCTTGGTTATGTGGAGGATGTGCACAAAGACCACTAGACTGCCACAGCTCTGTGAAAGTTTTTAAACTGTCTATGAAGGGTAAAAAATGTATATAGGCTTTAATTGTGAAGACAGGAAGTCGCTTGTGGGCGGCTGCTGCAGCTCCAGCTCCGGATCCAACCCCGGGTCCTTCATCATCATCATCATCAGTCAGCTGTTCGAGTTAGAAAGGACTGTGTGTTCTGAACCTGTGCACGTGTCTGATGCTACATGTACATTTAAATGGAGACACACATGTAAACCGAGATGTGCTGCTCTCACACGGATTCACATGTAGGTCATTGAACTGTCATGTAAACTGAAACGATGACGGTGAAGCTACAGTGTGGAGATCTGAGTCAAAGGTCAACTGCTGCATTGAGATGTTGATAAAAATGTCACACAGACTTCGTGGCTTTATTAAACATTTAGGAAAAGCCAGAGCAGATACAATACTAATAATAATGATATCAGTATTAATATTTAC